GGGTCGTCGTCCGCGCCGGCCGGCCGTTCGCCTCGACGTGGCGGACGGAAAGCCGCTTCTGCGTCGCCTCGGCAGAAGGGGGCGGAAAGCCCCCGGTCTTCGACGTTGACTGACGTCGGTCGACGTCGCTCCACCAATTGGTTCCCCCTGAATGCGTCATATAGGTTTTTTTTCTTGTAGGAGGGGGTAGGGGAGTGGGTGGGAGTGTTGAGGGCGATAATTTCGATTGGTGCTTCACTTTTTTCTCTTAGGTTTTTTTTTTTTGAGAGGTTGGATAATAAGATAAATGTTCAAAACAATCCTTTCTAGATAACAACTTTTGCATTGACGAAGGGAAAAAAAGGAACATGAGGAAAAAACATTTTAAATAGAAATGATGGTGGAAAAAAAATTAACTAACATGTATCAGCCACTGACCTTTTCACAATGCATGCTTTTTATCGGCCTTGTTTAATACAAGAAAATACAGTATATTCATAGCTGTTTGAAAAAAGAGATCTATCAACACCTCTTCGCACTTTAAATTCGTTAATCACCTTAACTATATTCTATTTTCTTTTTTATGTTTTTTTTTTGGAATAGGGTATCCAATTAAGTATTCCTCAATAGTAATCATTAAATGGGGTTTCTATGTTGAAGCGAAGAGTATCCCTTGGATATGCATCGTACTTCTGATAAAGAATTCGAAAGTCACCCAAAAACCAAATGTAATAGAATATTCCATTTCATTTTTCTGCATTTTTCTCTCATGGAACTATCATATTGATAGCTAAATATGCTTAGAAGCCTTGGACAGGATCACCTTATCGCATTATGGGGGTTTAGTTTTTATGGGATATAACGAAATTAATGGGAGTCTATGTATATGCATATATATATCGATAAATAAAACAAGCTCGCATCTAATGAGTTTAAAAAAAAATGAAATACAGAAATGTGCTTGAATTTGTTGTGACTCTCAAAAAAGTCGGTCCATTAAAAGGATTTAATGCACTTCCTTGAAATAAAAGATGTTCTAGCGGAATATAAAAATTAGTAGCAAGGGTAGATTTGTGCTTCTATATCGGTATACACCATACTAATGCATACGCATGTATAAGTCTGGCTATGTTTTATACGTGAATTTGTGCGTCTAAACGTAAAAATAGTTCAAACCCATAAATTAATAGGAATATAATTTTTCTAATGGGTTTGGAGATTAAGCATCTAGGATTAGGAATCAAATTTCTTTTTCTCGTCATTATTTCATCTAAAATAAAATTAATTGGGCCCAAAGCATATAATCCTGTAAATATATACCAAAAAAAAAAAAAAATGAACGCTAAATACCAATGATTATCACAACGACAGTATTGTACCCATTTACCAGTAACAAATAAAAAAGGATAAAATATTAGGACGCTAAATTAGGAAAGAAACTTAACCGAACCTTTTTGATGATTAATTTCATGGTTGTTCCTTATCGTCTTACCATTTGAATTTTTCCATTTTAGCATGTGCTATTCTATTTTGGCACTTGAAAGTACATAGGATTTGGGGCATCTTGTAACTTAGTTTTTGTTAGTAATGAAGCTAGGAAAAATAAAACAATAAGCTATATTTATCGCCAGCGTTTTTTTTTTAAAAAGACGTGCTAGCATTCGGCATTTTAATCATGCATTTAAGGGGTCATCCCAATCGAAGAGAAATAAAGGGTGTACACAAAGCTCAAATCGTGCTTTCAGCATTAGAATCTCACCAGAAAAAAAATATTAACGTTCACCATTAAAACAAAATATATCTATTATCAACACTTTTTCTCTCGATCTCTCTATATATGTTCTCTTAGACAAACGGAAAAAAAACTCAAAGGCACAGACGCAACAAAAGCTCTTCAAACATATGGCACACTAAGTGATTTTTTGGAGTTTATGGGACCACGCATGAATAGACTAATGCTTGTTTGAATAGGAAAAAGAAGGCAAAACAATAGTCAATACTCTTTCCCCTCCTCCTCGCCTGATTTTCTATTCAGTTAGTTACTACATGGCGTCTACACAGGGCTTCTCTCCTTTTCTTTCTATACTCTGGGATTTATAATACATATATATATATATATATATATTTGTGTGTGTGTGCGCGTGTGTTCAGCTTTTTGGATGATGCTACCTTTGACATTTCACTCAGAGTTTCCTTGTCCCTTCTATTATAAGCTCCGTCTCTTCTCCGCTATAAAAAACCTAGTACCGTTCGTTCTGCCCCTCCTCCACTGGCCAACGCGCCAAGTGCACCTTGCACGATAGATGATACTGTAGCACACGCAATAGCCGAGAGACGTTCGGCTCGCTGCTGGTATCCTCCTTTGTGTTGATTTGATAGTACACAACGCATATTTTACCATCGAACGAGACGTGAACCGTCTTCAGCTCGAAGGGCATATTGAGGAATCGAAACTGCCGCTGACATTCGGCCTGCGCCCACGACTGCGCTTGCAACGTGCGGAGCTGCTGCGCGGTATCGCTCAGGCTCGGCGTTGCGTTAATCGAGCGAAGGATAACGCCGTCAAAGACGACGGTCTTGAGAGGGGGGGGAGGCGCGTTGACGGGGACCCCGCCGGGCTCGCTGACGGGGAAAAGGAGCCCCGAGAGGGTCGTCCCCCCCCCCCCGCCTGTCGAGCCGCCCTCCACCCTGACCGGGCTGACGTGGGTGCAGACCCCGACGTCCACATAGGCGGTGTTCTCGAACCCGCTTCGGCCGCGAAAGACGAACGCGAGGAGGCGCTGCCCGATCAACGCGGCGGGCGCGCCCGCGACGACGGCGAAGGGGGCCGTCGTCAGCATCGCCTCCACGGCGGCGGGCGCGACGCCGTCGTCGAGCAG